CCGCAGCCTCCTTCGGATTCTGTGTCTCCCCTTCCATCCCTTCCCCCACGCCCGCTATGTATCGCACGGGTGCGAGCAACGTGTGCAGCACATTACCGACCAAATAGAAGGGGAGAGACGCCCCCCCTCCCCGAGCTCCGTTCCGTCCTCCTTGCTCCATCTCCATGCTGCCCGCTCCAACCCTTTCTTCCCCATTGCCTTCCCCTCCCCCGCGAAGGCCCAGGAGAGGGGCTTCGTCTCCTTCTCCACCTCCCCCGGCACTGCCACCCATGGACTCCTCCACTTCCGCGTCCTTCCCGTCCCGTCGTGCTTGTAGCCATTGTTGTTGATGGGCACGCACCCTACGCTCTGTGCCTGGGGATGTGCTACGCCGCCGCACGTGGCTCTGGCCCGCGGGACTGGAGGCGGAGACTAGGGCAGGGGGTGAGGAGGCAAGAGTAGGTTCACCGGATAGGTACTCTTGCACGGCGTGCTGTACATCCCAATTGTTTTTACTGAGGAGAAAGGTGGCCACGTCATCATCCTCAATGCCCGTTACTTCTTTCAGGAGGGCCACTTTCTCCGAACTTTGTTGAGAAGAACTGCTCATGGGTGTGCGAATGCCTCAATGGCCTGTCGAATGGAAAGGGAAGTAATCGGCGGTACACGAGGCTAACGGTATGGCTTCAACGCATGTACACTCCCAGCGCTCGTTTAAGATGAATGTCGCCCTAGAGCAAAGGCAAGATGTGTAATAGTAAGGGATGTGAGACGTAGAGTAGCACCTTGAGGCTGGCCAAGGAAGAGTAACGCTTCCGGCGGTCAAAAATGCCGTGCGCTGGTGCGACATGAGGGTTCAAGTCGAGTCAACACTTAAACAGATGCTTGCTGTGGGTCAAGATTTTCAGGACACGTCATTTTTGGGGTTCGCTTGTGGAAATCGTCAGGCTGGAAGACGCGACGTGCTCTGCATCACTTCTTGCTCCGGGTACCCTTTCCTCGATGGCCTAGCGGCATGGGGGGAAGCCGGCGAACCATGTGACCGTCTTCCTGGTGGGCCTACGTCCTGCAAAAGCGACGTAAAGTTTCACGGATGATACATTTACCAACAGCTGAAGAGCGACTAATTGTACGGGACGTTGTGTCAAAACTTCCACGACTCGAGTTGTGAAGTTCCTTCGTATGTAGAACAGCCTACGGTAGAGGTAATCACTATCAAGAAGTCATCTTCCTATATTCTCATGGGGAGGAGACAGTAGCAAATGAATCATTCCCGTAACTTACATCGTTTCATTGTTCGTAGCCTAGGGAACTGTCCAAAAATAGCCTCCGACGGAAAGTTATTTCACACGCGGTCAGGTTCCTGCTTCCACCGACGTGATAAGTCCCAAGACAAGCTCTATCGCCAAATACCTTCTAGAACCGCGACCACAAATTACACACTCGCTTTCTCTTCTTTTTTCTCAACGTTGTATATTTGCGAGCACCTACACACACAGCGATTATGAAATTACCAAAAAAACCGCTGCCACCACCGCCGTACGTATCAAGATAGTCCGGTCGGTCCTCTCAGCGAGCCTTTTCGCACTCCTTGGGCCACCAGTGGAGGAGAGAGTCTGGGCACGGAATGTAGAACCTTCCCCACGACGACTCCATACCATCTTCCGTCCCAGAGAAGCTACTTCTGCTAGTAGCCTCATACCTTCGCCCCCGCGGAGGCTCCTGCTGAGGCTTGCGTCATTTCGACAATGATCTCCTTACACACTTTTCGATCCGTGCATTCCCTTGTGAAAGGCAATCGGATTTTGCTTCCTCCCCATTTACTCTCCACTTTCACCATCATGCCCAACCTATCCAAGGACACAATTTCGGCCTTATCAACTTCCAAGCCGACGTAGTGAAGGACCATCGCTTTCGTCGCGTCGGAGTGGTCAGCATTCATGTGATTCATCACTGCGGCTGCGTACGGTTGACAAGCGTCGGGCGCGGCATCCAAGTAGTCCGCCGGCTCCAGCGCCCCAAAGCGTGCAAAGCCCCCGTTGTAGCGTACTGCCGCCATGGTATCCATACGGAAGAAATCAAAATCTCCTAGGGAGTTACAGTAATAGGTAAGCCACAAGGCAGTCAGCGACGGTTGTAGGCGTTCAATATCGCGCATAAGGCAAACACATATGTCCCTTATTCGATCGCGCGCTCTCAAAGCAGGATAATATACACGAAGTTCCCCCTGGGAGGAGATGTCAGCACGTGCGAGAGTTCGCGCATCAGATAAAATACAGGGCAATACGATGACAAAATTAATATCCATGAAATGGCAGTGCTTAATTTTTCGATAAGAACGTTGATTCAATAAGGAATTTCCCCCCTAATTTTTTTTAAACTCACCGAAATCCACCCAGAAGTGCCCCGGATGCCTGGCTAGATACGTCTCCCGCGCTTTCGTCGTTTCTTCCCCTTCGGGCACTTTTTTGATTTCCCCCACGAAAGAGACGCGTCCATCGTCCAATCCCTTGAAATCCTGTGCATGATAAACCGGAAGAAACGTCGAGACAGGGAGTGAACGAACGGGAGGGGAAGAGACGAGGACTCGACAGGACGAGAGGTGGTGCTTCCCATCCTCGCCCCTTGTCGGAAAGGAAGACTATCCAGGAGGAACCGTCCAGGATAGCTGTGTTTCAGCCATGCAAACGCGCCTGCCCTTTCCGACCTACCTTGCTCGCCACTGTGAAAGAGGCCCGCGGATCCTTCAGCAGGTCCTGCTTGTGGGTGGAAATGCTCGAGAAGGAGAATATGGGCCGGCCTTTTTCGTCCACTGCAAATCCGACCATGGCTGACGCCGGGTACCCGGCCAAGGGAGAGGAAGCTTGCGAATTCGTGCCCAAAACCCCCAACCCTGTGGAGTAGTAAACCAGCGTGCGAGCCTCCTCCGCGGCTGTGAGACGCGCGGCTGTCTTCTGGTGCTCCATCAGCATTGTCTGGACGCGGACAAGTTCAGGGTCTTGCTCTGCAGGGGCTTGACCGGGTACAGAATGACCCCCGCCTTTTTCCTCCGTCTTGGTGCCTTCGGCGCTGCTGCTGCTGCTGCTGCTGAGACGTTGCGAGCTGAAGGACGCGGGCGGGGACAACCAAAATGCGGCCGCCGAAATAACCTGTGGAAGCCTTCGAATGGCTGTGCTCCGTCGCACGCATGGATGTGCGGGAAAAGAAGCAATTAGCGATTTCTTCAGATATGTAGCATTACTACACACCACGTACACTCCTGGAAGCTCCACGTTTCTTATCCTCACTTATCACTCTACCTTCGGTCAGAAATTCTGCGGTCAAGGAAACTTACCGCTCCCTAGCGACTGGCTACCTCCTTTGTTTCCCATCATGCGGCTGGCGGGTCCGTGGTGCAAGAACGACGCGACCGGAGTCGAGGAGGACAAAACGACAAGGGTGCTAAGGGCCCGTTGAAAGACACGCGTCATGAGCGTCAGGCCGCACGGCTCGGTACAATTGCGATAGCTATGTGATGTGTGCCTGTGATAATTGAACAACATGCACGGGAGGTGGCTTGTGACTCGAAACATGGATGGGATGACTCATTAAGGGGAGGGGAGGCTCGACAAGGAGGACGGAACAGGTCGTGCAACCTAGCAAGCACCCGGGCTATGATACTGTATTTTTCGCCACTTTCATGTATATTTTCCTCCATGCCCAACCTCAGGGAGAGAGGAATATTCGGACTGGGTGCCATGTGGTGGCGGCGTCCACCGTCGACGCGATTTTTAATTGCTGCAAATTGCACCGTCCTGCGTCGCCCCGGCATGTGCTGCCTGTCAGCGTTACCTCCCCACCCCTCCCTTGCCTGGACCCATTCGTGGCAAAAAAAGTGCTCCCAGTCCATGCACACGCACGTCCATGCCTCGAACGATGAGACTTCAACACGTCCGTTTCGAGTTGCCTTGATTGGGAGACCGAATGTGGGTAAATCCACGCTATTTAATCGTCTCACGGGTACCGCCAAAGGGCGATGGACTGGAGGAACCGCCATTGTCACTCCCATTCCTGGCACAACACGGGATCGAAAAACGGGGCCGTGTTCCTATGCAGGAATTTCAATGGTGGTGACTGATACTGGAGGGTTGGTAGAAGAGGACGAGGTAAGGATTGAGGATGAGGCCGGGGACGTTGAGGGTGAAGAAGTCGAGGACATGGACCCGCGCGGCCTGGTCAGAGAGAGGGTCCGAGCCCAACGGAAGCAAATCCAGGAACTGATCAATGCCCAGGTAGCCCAGGCCGTGAAAGAGAGCGACGCGGTCCTTTTCCTGGTGGACGCGCGTGCGGGGGTAGGTGCCGGCGAGGCTCACGTGGCCGGGTGGCTGCACAAGGTGGGGGCATCGGGAAAGACCATCCTGGTGGCAAATAAGGTCGAAGGAGGGGTGTCGTCAGACATGCAAACCGCCGTGTACGACGCCTACGCGTTCGGGCTGGGAGACCCTGTGGCGATTTCGGCGGCGCACAATGAAGGTATCTCAGAGCTGGCTACCTTGCTGGTGGAGAAAGCGCTTTCGGCAGGGCTGCAGGGTGCCAATGCTCCCGGCATAGACGCGGGAAGACATCATGAGAAGGATGCACCGGGTGGGCGCGAGGGGGAAAAGGAAGAGGTGGTCACGGTGGCCTTTGTCGGGTTGCCGAACGCGGGGAAATCCAGTTTGGTGAATGCCGCCTTGGAGCACTTACCCCGGGCACCTCCCGGCCCGGGGGCCTCGCCTGACGAGGACACGGACAATGTCGACAGCACCAGCGAGGAAGTGGAGGGAAGAGTCCCTGCAGCATTGCCCTGGCCGCGGCCGTTGACGGCTTCAGTGCCGCGAATGATCACTTCGGAGGTGGCGGGCACCACCCGGGACGTGGTGGCGGTGGACTATGCCTACCGGGGACGCCGCCTGCGTCTCGTCGACACGGCCGGCATCCGGAAACGGGGCCGGCAAGACCATCGCAACCTACTGGAGCAATGGTCAGTAGCCGAGGCGTTCCGAGCCGTTCAGTTTGCGAATGTGGTGGTGTTGGTCCTCGACGCCCAACATCTCCGGCTTCGACGGCAGGAGCAAAGGGTGGCCTCCCGGGCACTTCAAGAAGGGCGGGCGTTGGTCGTCGTTGCGAACAAGAGCGACCTGTTGCAGACCTCTCCGGGTCTGTATGCCCAAAATGTACGGGATCAGTTGCACCTCCTCTCTCCTCAACTAGGCTCGCTCCCCGTTCTTGCCACCTCTGCTTTGACTCGGCAAGGCATAGGCAGCATTTTGCCTGCCGTCTTTCGTGCGTACAGGGCTTGGAATACGCGGGTGAGCACCGGCTTGCTCAATCGATGGCTGCTCGAAACGCAGCGACTCCGCGCATCCCCCCTCACGGCCACGACACGCAAAGTGGTGAAAATGAAATACATTTCTCAGATCAAGTCACGCCCGCCCACATTCGCACTAGTCACGAATCGGGCAGGTATGGAGGAATCGTACGTAAAATTTTTGAAAAACAACTTACGCGACAGTTTCGGGTTGCATGGAATGGATGTTCGGTTGTTGCTGCGGAGTACAGGCGGAGAGAACAACCCCTATGCGGCCAAGGCGGCGGCAGAGGCAGCGGAGCGAAAGAAAGCGTGGATGAATCGTCAAAAGAAGAAATGGGCCCAGGAATCTCAGGATGTCGGGTCTGGCAAAGCCAAGCGGGATGACGTAGAGGAACGAGTCGAGCAAGAACGGAAAAAAAGACGACAGCTGCGCGAGATGACCAAGCGCAGCAAAGTGGAAGCACGGAATAAACGACGAGCATACAACACGAGGGTGGTGGGATTAACGCGGACATAATTATGTTTGAATGTATCATTGACCGACATGATTTATACTTGAATGTATATTTGACAAAGTATCCAATGTAAGTACCCCGATCCGGTTGATGAAGGCGGACGAAAGGAAGGACTTATGTTCCAGACGAATCATGCTTCAAATTGATGTGTTCGGTGTGCACAAGCCTTCTGCACATTGAGGCATGAATCGAAAGAGAACATCCCTGTGAGGTTACAGCGATAGCAAGCGATATGGGCTCAGAGGTATCCCCGTCTTAAGACGCAAGTCACATCACTTCCCACCATGAGGGGCCAATGGAGAGATATTTGGGAATTGAACAGGCATATCGCACAAGAAGGGTGCTCCAAAGTGTATCAGATAAGCAAGTTGGAAGGAGGATACTTTATTAACCTCCTGACCCCTGGCCTACTTCTTTCACCACTGAGTTGTTCTTGTTGCCTCTTGTTTTGCGACTAAACCTCGAGAACATCCCCCCGAAAATGCTTAAAGAAAGGGTCTTGATATATATGCTGCGAGTATAGGCAACTTTAGTTTACCAAAACCAAGATTTTGTAACTTCGGCGTTGCGGAAATATTTTGTCATAATCACGAAAGCGCTCCAACCTTGTCTCATGTGGGTGCATGTCCATTTTCCTGTTTCCCCGCCTGGTACAGACATCTTGCCCCGGAAAGCGGCATAATGAGGCGGTGCACGCTTTTCCCTGTCATCGTTTACCTTGCCCTGCCCCTGTCTGTACATGCATTCCGGCTTCGTCCGGCCACCTCCTCCTCCAGGCTTCCGTGTCGCCCCATCTCCCGTCGCCGCCCACGTCGTCCCCTAGCTTTGTCCGCAAACGACTACGATGAGAACAGAAGAAAAACGGACGACCCTTTCACCATTCCTGTCCTGGAGCCCAACCAGCTGCGAATTGTGCGCCCCATCGGGGAGCAACGTTTGACTGTGGAAGAGGAGACGGAAACACGCGACGGTGCGGGACCCCGCGGTGCCTTCGGGCGCATTCGAAACAAGAAATCGAGGACGGAGCAGCCGGCTCAGATTCGTCGAGAAATGCGAAACATGGGCGTGGGTGCTCGGTTGTTCGAGGCGGTTGATACCCGGACCGGTCAGGCCTTGGTCTTGAAGGAATTCCTGCCCATGATGAAAAACGTGGCCATGGGAGAAGTGGAGCTCTACAGGTATGGGACGGTCCTCTCCCTTCCTACTGCTTGCTGGTGCATGGCGAGTGAACGTGCGGGGGCTGTCCTGCGATGGTTCCCAGAGCCGTATGGCCTGTGATTTCAGAAGCCGTTCACGCACGACCTCGTTCCCTCCCTCGTTCCCTTCCTCCTTCCCTCCCTCCTTCCCTCCCTCCTCCCCCAGGTACCTCTACGACTGGACACGCCGGAACCAGCCTGCCTGGCTCCCTTCCGACCTCCCGCTTGTCCCTCTCCACGGCTACTTAACCACCGGGCCGGAGGTGGAAGACCCCTCCTTCGTACAAGCCTGGAGAGACCGCTTCGGTCCTTCCCTACCCCCCCCCGTGCCTGGCAATGTCTGGGTGGCCGTGCGCGCCGCTCGTCTCCTGCCACTCACCTCCGTCCCCCGCCTCGCGCTTGGGGACGCGGAGAAGTTCCCCTTGGCCTCTCCCGGGCGAGCAGGTTGGTGGGGCCGTTTGTGGGGGAAAGGAGGGCCGGACCGGGTAGCCTACTTGAAGAACGTGTTCGAAGGGAGCATCACCGCCGTGTCCTTGCTCCACCAAGCCGGTGTCGTCCATGGGGCCGTCTCTCCCTCCACCATTTTGGTCTCCACGGCCGACCTCCGGGAGGGAGGGAGGGAGGGCGGGATGGAGGTGTGGTTGTCGGAGCTGGGCTTCGCCACGAACGTGTTGAGCCAAGGGACGTTGGATTTTGAGGGGTTGGTCAAGCGGGATTGGAAGGGGTGCTCGTACGCTCTGCTGGAAGTTTTCCTGCGGCTGCTTGCAGAGGAGGAGGAGGGTGAGGGCGAGGGGGGGGACGGTCTGGGGAAGTACGAAGAGGGCTTCACGCTGCCGTTCGCACAGGTGGAGGCGGGGGGTCTGCAGGCAGTGACGGAGGAGCGGTTCAAGGGGGACGTGAGCGTAGGCCTCCGGAGCTTGGTCAACAACGAAAGGGCATACCAACAGGCCGTCGCCTGCCTGGACGCGAAGGGCGGGGCGGGATGGGTCCTGTTACACGACATGGCCAATGCAGGGAGGTTGGTGGCGCAGGAAGGAGGGGTGTACGGGGTCGGGCCACGCTTGTTGGCCAGCAGCTTTTGGGAGAGCTAGTGGGAGCGCTGGGTCCGATAGGGGAAAAAGGTGCCGCTCTGGAGAAAGTAGGAGTTGCGGATATAATATATAGATATATATCTATCATTGTTTGATTTCTTTCCCCCCCTCGATCACGTTATTATATTTGGAAATGCGTGTCTGTCATTCGTTCATAGCTTGTCTTTTCCGACACGATATTTTCCATTTGATTCATACACATTTCTCCACAAAAGCCAAGGAAAGCTGGCATCCCCCTCTCCCGCTCCCAGGCGATCCATCTCCCGTCGCATCTTCGTTTCGGTCGACCGAATCGCCCCACTTCCGTGCACAAAGACCGCCATCGACAAGGGCCAGGTAGCCACGTTTCTCGAACGCCTTGCCGGCGCGTTTGAATGTTTAAATTTCAATATCTATCGGTTTCAACGGTCGGGAGCAACATGTCAAGCACCGCGCCTGCTCCTCCCCCACCGCGTCCGCATTGGCCACTCCGACCCCCCCCTCGTTTCACAAAAGGGCTGCCTGCATCTCCTTGCCCCCGTCTCCCTGTAATGACAAGAAGTCGAACAGGGCTTTCCCCCCAAACCCTTCCCCTCGACTTTCCTTCCCTCCCTCCAATCCCCCCCTTCCCACGGCGAACCAGAAGAAGACAGCCGCCTGCGTCAGACACATGAAGACACCGAGAACGCTGGGGATGTAGACCCAGGCATCCGCCGTCAAAATGCCGTAGGCCCCCCACAAAACGCTGTTCAGGGTGCCGACCAGGGCGAAAAAGAGGGAGATGGGCTTGGGCGAGCGCAGGCGCAAGGCCCGCAGGACGGTGGAGAGGGGGGCGGCGTACACAGCGATGGTGACAAGGGTGCAAAGCGCCCCCAGATGGGCCTGGGTCCTGCTTGTATCCGGGGAAGGGAAGAAGAAGCAGTACGTCGCCGTGCTCAGGACAAAAGAGAGGGCAAGCACGAAATATTGCGC